AGCATGCTTTGTTCAGGAGTACCCACCAGTAAATCTACCAAGACTTATGCCCAGGTGTACAAGACTCAGCCCGTGAAAGTCAGAATAATGTTTCCCAGCTCAGCCTTCACAGTCTAAGCAAGGGTGAGGAAGCTGAGCATTTCATTTCACTTCCTTTGAGTCAATTTGATTGTACTGTATTTACCAGGCATTACACTCAACTTTGCTCTCTGGTCCACATGAAATCACAAGCAGATGAGCAGCCTAGATGTACAGTAACTTGTTCAACAAATTGTTTGAGCAGCCTTAAAAAGCCATTTATTTTGCAGCCAACACCTCCTTCCCCACTCCTCCCGCCCCCCCCCCCGCTTTTGACATGTTGCCTTCCTTAAGGAATGTTTTCCTTCATTCCACAAGGTGTTTCCATATAGCTCATAAAATATATATATTTAATGTGTGCAAATCCAAGGCTGCCTCGTGTCCACACCTTCCTCGGAATGGCCCAATATTTCCAAGACTGAAAGGGGGGGGGGAGAAGGACGTAGGAGGGAGAGACATTTCCACAAGCAACTCTGGAAGGTGGTGCTAATCAAACATTCCAAAAGTTATGAGTTTCGTGGTAGAAGCATCCCTGAGCAAGACAGGACTCTAAGGCATCTTTGTTAAATGTAGCAGAAAACTACGTTGATGGATTTGGCAATGTTTCCTTTTTTCCCATCCACCTTTTGGGAGTCCAAACCAACCATAATACAATAAAAAGACATGGTGATTGGTTTAATCTGAATCAATATTCAATAACCCATTCACACCATATTTCCTGGACAATAGACAGGAGGCCGAAGCTGGGAGAAGTTGTGAAGCTGGTTGTCTGAGATAAAGGGTGATCAAGATGAGAAGAAAAAATGGACCATTGAATCAGAGGACAAACCAAGATACAAGACCAAGACTAGACACTCAAGACATGACGTCGCTGAAGTAGACCCTGTGGCTCTAGTAACATTCACCTAAGAGAGGAGATAGTGGATTAGATCAGGGGTGGAGATCATGTGCCTTATGGGTCACACATAGTCCCAAGATTCACATAGCCAACACTCCTGGAAGCTTCCAAAAGTAAAGTCTGGGGTTGTTCAAGACCAGGGCCCCCCAACGTTGGATCCCCCAATGTTCTTGGACTATGAGAAATCCTGGCCAATGCAGCTAGTTTTAATCCAAGATCATCTGGGGAACTAAACTTGGGAACCACAGTTCTATACCTTTTAAAGGGGAAAATGGGCCATTTTAGAAAATTTCAGAATTTTCCAGATGCTATTTTGCTGTCACAAAACATTTGGCCTCACCTGGAATATTTCCAATACCAAGACAAATGATGGCATCATCATGATCTCACCTAATTTTGAAAGATAAGGAAGGGGTGGTGAGACAATTATTATATGTGAATTTGGGTGTCTATAAATTTATTTGATTTGATTTGAGAGACTGCCACCGAATATCTCTAGATAGGGCTAGAGAACGAATATGTCCTGAAACCTTGGAGACCTACTCTATGAATCCGTATAAAAGCAAGTTCCTAGCCCCTGTATCGCTTCACATTGCTAATGGATGGGGAAATCTGAAATATCTAGGAGCAGAAGAATTCCTTGTAGGATCAAAGATGGATCCAATGTCTCGTTCCAAAACCTAGTCCATTCTTATCCGTCCATAGCGGTGGAATAAAGAAGAGCAATGATGTGTCAAGGGTTGCAGCACCATGGAAAGCTCCCAGCGAACAAATTGCTCCAACCAAGGCTGGATGTGGCCTGAGGCCTCATCAAGGTCCCATAAATCTCTCCCCTGAGAAGCTCCTGGACATGACGGACATGAATCCTAGAAGACTCAACCGCCTGCCTAGGAGCAGATACTTTTATAGGCTATGTACTTTGTGGGTTGTGGGGAAAATTTTTTATCATCCAGTGAAGATGCCTATGACTTCTGCCCCTTGCCCTAACCCCCAATTTAATTTAGTTTTCAATAGTTGCTCACTAGAAAGCACAGGGAGCACTTTTCGTTAAAAGATTTTCTAAGAAATTGGAGGTTTCTTAGAAAATCTGAGATCATGGATGTCGCCTCTAGAGCATCCCTAAGGTTGAAGAATGTGGATGTGTGCCCTCTCTGGACCCCATGTAAGTCAGAATGGACTTGATGGCACATGGTTATTATTAACTTGAAATAACAATGTAAGGTGGCGGAATAGCTGAGCATTTTAGGCCTCTGGCTGCCGAGCCAGTGGTTCGGAGTTTGATTCCCTGCACGGGGTCTACTTGACAGAGGTTGGGCTCGATTAATGATATGGTCACTTACCACTCTACAGTTCTAAGATTCCTACTACTCGGAGTAGTAGTACTAATACGATGATGATGATGATGATGATGATGATGATGATGATGATGATGATGATGATGATGATGATGATAGAAGTGAGTTAGGGTTGACTTTGTTTTTCTCATCTTTAGTGCATAATACAACATGGTTCTCTCCATGCTGAGTATAACTACATTCACTTGCAGATGAGTGACAATTTAACCTTGGCCCATTTTTGAGGAATTTTGCAACTTGCAGCTTTTTTAAAAAAAATCCAGCATGGAGAAAAAGTGAAAGAACTGGATAGACTTTCACATCCCCTTTCCATAGTACTCTGTTTCAAGTTCGTATTCGGGATATGACAAATATGAGCCATTGCATGAATCTGACACACAGATGGACAAGAAATCAGTCCGATGCTTCCACTGTCACTGGTCTCATTGAAACTGGCTCCGACGGTCCCCACGGAAAATCCTTACATTTCACCATATACAGTACAGAGGAAATCCTCCAGCATAATTAGAATGAATGCTTTCTGGCAAGCGAAGGGAGAAGCGGATTTATACAGGCACGAGGAATGCAAGTCTAAAAAGAGAACAAGCCACATATACAAGGGAATGCAAGCTTGTGGGAATAGGTGTTTTCCCTAAGCATCTGCCAATCCTTCCCATAACCATCTTTGAAACTTATTCAGCCCAGCAGCAGCACCAGTACCAGCCAGGTACAGCAACTTTTGCAGGTCTACTAAGCGATGCAACAATGCAGTCCTGAGCGACTTCTGCTAAAAGAATAAATGTAATTAATTTAATGGCACTGCATGTTCTGACAGCTTTTGCTTTTGATAGCTTGTGTGTGTCTTGTAAAGAGATTCACCTTAATAGCAGTTTTTTAAATAGAGACTCAGACTTGGGACTTGATACCAAAGACTCAGACTTGGTACTTGGTACCAAAGACTCAGACTTCGGACTTGGACCCAAAACCTTGCAAGTATTCCTGAAAATATATTCTTAGAACATGCATTACTTTCCCAGTTCCTGCTTCTCTGTTCAAAGCCAAATGGAAATAAAGAGAAATTTATCCACAGCATGCATGTGCGCGCGCACCCCTACAACATAACATGTGTGAGAGAGGACTTTAGACACTGACTAAAGACTTTTGCCATAAATTCAAGGACTGGAATAGAGACAGTGGTTAAAGCCAATGGGGAAAAAATGTTTGCACCGGAATTCCAAGGATAGACCCCTGAATGTTACTTTCTGCACACTTTTAAAAGAGACGTCATATTTCGTGCCAACAAAATTCAAATGCAAATGCAAATTCTGTGCCATGCATATGGAAAACTGAGTATTTCAACCTTTGATTGTTTATTTTGTTAGCTTCGCTTCTCTAATCCAGGAACAGATTCATGTGGGTTCAAGCACTAGGTTGTGGAACCGTACAGGAAGAATTTTTAGCCCTGCAATAAACTGCCCTTTGATTATTTATTCACTTTTTAAAAAAACTTCCATTCCACCTTTCTCCATAACAGGACATAGAGCACTTGCAAAAAGAATTTCAAAACAGATACAGCTAAAAAGTCCCTAACAAATCACAATAAGAAAACCATATTTAAACAATAACGTTAAAAACAAAGACCAAATTACCATGGTTTAAAAGCCATTTAAAAAGACAACAACAACAACAACAACAACAACAACAACAACAACAACAACAACAACAACATCCACCTTCCTCCTCCATCAATTGGGTGACAAAATCTTATCTTAATAAAAAAGTCTTTGCCTGCCTACAGAAGGACATCAGGGAAGGGGCAAACGTAGCTTTCACCAAGGAGAAGCAGCCATAAGGAAGGCCCTCTCTTGAGAGCTCATGAGATGTGCTTCTAAGGGGGTGGGAGCAAGAGAAGGGCCTTTCTTAAAGATCTCAAAAGATCTCCAGGGGAGGGTCAAATAATCTGGACCCAAGGTTTATATAGCTTTATAAACAATAACCAACACTCAACTCTACCTAAATGAATTGGTAACCAGCAAAGCTGCTATAGCTATGGGTTCCTATATTCCCTATAAGCAGCTTTGGGGGAACAGCTTGGATGTAGTAGCATTTTGCATCTGTCAGAAAGGCCAAAGAGGTCTCAAAGGCACACACACACACACCCGTATCGAGTGTGTTGCAGTAGCCCGATCCAGAACGCTTCAAAACCAGTGCTCTGACATCATCTCAAATACTGGGTTTACTGGACAAAGGGAAAATGTTGGAATAGGGCAAGCCACTCTCTGACAAGTCCTGATAGCACAATGCTCTAGGTGTTGCACCCCTCTAAGGTGCAGGAAGTTAAAACGCTGGTCAGGATGCTGCTGCTGAGTCCACTGGTCAAAGTCAAGCTCAACACAGTTTGAGATGTGATGTTACACCTTTAGCAAGCTGGTATTACTCTAAGGGCTGTAAGAAATGTGCACCTTGGTAAAAAAAAATTGGTCTCAGAAATTCTTCAGCACTCCAAGCAGAATAAGATCATGCATGCATCAGAGGGTCGGGGAATCAACGCAACACCACCGAAGTAATTAATAACCATAAATAACCACCACAGCTCAAGAGAAGTCACCTCCAAAAGACCCGGGATCCATACAGTTACTTCTGCCTCTCCTCACCCTCCCAAGAGGCCATTCAATCATCAGCCATCTTACCTCCCATCCAAAGTTCGTTTCCTTCAACGTACTCCCTGGAAATGCCACGTAGGGCCCGAACCGTTCCCCAATTTCAAGCTTCTTTTTGGTCCAAATGCCCAGCCCCGCCCCTGGAATGGAAGACTCCCTCAGTTCAAAGTCAGGTGGGATTGGAATGTCGTCGGGGATGTAGACCGGCGCTTCGTACGGCGAGCCTTCCTTGGGGTTGAAATCCTCTCCCGTAGGGAGAGGGGAGGGAGGTCCGATGGGGATGGGTGACATGATGCTGTCTTCCGTCTCTTCCTCGGCGCTCTCGCCTGCTAGGAGGTCTGCCTCGGTTTCATACATATTATTCACAATGTCGTTGTCACCTTAAAAACAAAAATAGAAGCACAGAAATGTATGGATATAGAGCCAGAAGGAGCAGAAATGGCATGATGCCACGACTGCCCTGGTATACACAAGACTCTGTTTCAAGAAGGTTACAAACTCAGTTAGGGGTAGACAACTTGCATTATCCAGGGATCTGCAAAGATCACAACAGCTCCTCAAAATGGATTTGGAAGTGAAGGTATGGGGAGCACATCTTGGTTTAGAGAAGTGCGGTGACCCCAGAAACATGTTTTTTTCATTTCATTTGTTAAAAAGTGAACATTGCGATTCCTTCACACACACCCTTACAGGGGCCATAAAAATGGTCTTGGGGGTATCATGTCACCACAGGCCACATAATCTCCTCTAATTTAAATGTTGACAGAGAGGACAAAACCCAGTGATGGGTAGTGAAGGGGAGAAAGGAAAGGCCAAAGGGAAATGATATTCATTGCAGTTTGGAAAAGTTACTTCTTACTGGACTACAACTTGCTGGGTAGCTCAGTGGCTGCAGAGCCAGAAGTTGGGAGTTTGATTCCCAACTGGGTCTCTTTGACATGGGCTAGGTTCAATGATCCACAGGGTCCCTTCCTGCTATGAAGTTCTAAGATGATTATGATGGATGATGATGAACTGTCAGAATCCTCTAACAGTTGGTGCCCTGAGCAGCAATGCCCACCATGAAGACAAAAATCAGTTGATATCAAGCTTATGTTGCTACCTGTTCAGAAACACTCCAACTATTGTTGGCCTAGAGCTGAGCAGGCTTCGGTCTTAGAAAAACACACACTACACACAATGACTGAAGGAAAAAGGCTGCAGCATTACTGATCACAGCAGCAGTTTTATCTGCCCTAGCCTTGGGACAGGATCCAGTTCATTGGGAGACTCGAATGCCACCTGATGTGAACCGCTGTCTTCCCAGATCCCTTGGGGAGACAACCCTAAAGGGCGCCTTAAGAAACCACTGCCTTAAAAGCTGGCCTGTTTCATTTGTCTAAGCTTTTGAGATTAAAGGGCGCAACATCTTATGCAAAAGAAAACTGATTACTCTTTAAGGTGCCTCAAGACTATCTGTAGTTTTAAAACAACAACACTTCCTAGTTTAAAAAACAGGAGGTTATCTCAGGGTCCTTCACGCATCCTAAGCTTTCAGGTTCCCTAAGAAAACAAGTTGCAAGTTCCTCCATTAAAGACAGTTGCTCCAAAGGGATAACATCTCCCCCTGCATCATCTTCTTCTTCTTCTTCTTCTTCTTCTTCTTCTTCTTCTTCTTCTTCTTCTTCTTCTTCTTCTTCTTCTTCTTCTGTACCGTCCCACCAGCCTCCTGGGAAATGATGGCACTGCTTGCAATCAGAGTTGTCCAGAGCTGTCAGTTAAAACCCATCAGGGTTCAATAAATGAGTTAGAAAGGGTTTTAGCAGGAAATGCACCACAGAAGCAGCAACCACCACCATTGTGGTCGTTGTAGACTGTTCAGTCGCATCATTGTCCTCTTGAAACGGCAGAGCTGGAAGGGACCCTAAGGATCATCCAGTCCAGCCTCTGTCAAGGAGGCCCAGTGGGGATTCGAACTCCCAACCTCTAACTCAGAGACCTAAACTACTGAGCTATCCAGCAGTTCTTAATAATAACCTTAGAACTGCAGAACCGGAAGGGACCTGATAGATCATTGGCTCCACAGCCAGAGACCTAAACCACTGAGCTATTGTTGAGTTTTACGTAATGCATCTTCCTTGGAGTACAGCTCACCAAGCCCTGGTGGGCAGTCTTTCCTTCAACACAACATCAATTCGAAGCTGAAGTGCACCTAGCCTCAAAGCCATGCATCACACACAGTTCTAGGTGGAGTGTCAACCAGTGGGTAGTTTTTTGCAAAATGCCAAACACCTTTTCCCCATCATCACATTATGTACATTGTTTGAGAGCCTCCACGCGGGATGAATATTTGTGACTAAATACCAGGCTTCGGCAGGAGCAAGGGAAGACTTTTGTATGGCTAAGTGTTCTGGGGGAAAAAGGGTGAATTGAGAGAGAGATCCATAATCTGCCTCCAAACGGAGTGGTTCAGAACTATTTCAAACCTATTATTTGTACAGAAAACAAAACCAAAAAAAAAGAAGAAAAAAGGAAAGGAAAAGGAGGGGGGGGAAGCCAAAACCTTTTTCAAAGTCATGTGGATAAAACACTTATTTAATTTAGGAGCATTCAGAAGACTAATTATTAGTCTACAAGTGGGTGGTTGGTGTCTTTCTCTTCTTCCGATCCGTGCCCTCTAATGCACAAAAGCGGCAGCCAAGCCACAGCTGTTACCTCCCTGTCTTGAGGTTCTTGTGTTGTTTGGCAGGAGCGCAAAAAGCCCACCCCCAGAAAAAAACACAGAAAAGGGACATGCACAAAAGAAAGGTAAAATTACAATGGGCAACAATTAGCTGAATCCAGCAGAGTTGGTGACCACATCGCGTCCACACCAACAGGAGCATGGTGACTTTTATTGTAAGAAACTCTAGGAGAGAGGGAAAAAAGGCCCTCAGCACCGCGCAGGATTGAAGCTTTGCATTGGGGGCTGTATTGTTATGTTTCCAAACATGCTCGTACAGATGCATGCACGCATGTTCACACAAACACAAACAGGGGAAAAAATCCTTAATCTAGCAAAGCTATAGTTCCCCCCCCCCGCCCTGAACAATTATGAAATTAGTGTGATTATTTTAGCAGGCTGCAAATTACCACACTTGGCTGCTTCGCAAAGAAAAAAGTATTATTATTCAACTCTTTCTGTTACCTCCTTTTTCTGCCTTTCCTCTTCCCTCCTGCAATTTTTGCTAAAGTACATAGGAAGGAAGGAAGGAAGGAAGGAAGGAAGGAAGGAAGGAAGGAAGGAAGGAAGGAGCTGACAACAGGACAATTTTTAAAGAAAAAAGAATAAAACATGATATAAATAATGACATCAAAGACCTCCAGGTCTACAGAACCATACAGGTTGAAGATCTTCCCCTTCCCAGTTGGAGGATTAAGGATGTCTGGTTGACATCATGCTGATGGCAGCTGGTGAGGAAATGTTGTCAAACTTTTACCATGGGCTTCTAAGACAGGGGATAAATTTGAGCAAGTAGGACAAGAACACAAGAAGACACCTGTTGGATCAGATTGAAGCAGCATCTCTTCCAACCACATGGTCAACCCGCTAGTTCTGGAAAACCTAAAACCAAGCATCAAATCTGGAGACACCAAACACAGTTTAGAAGATGGAGCAAGTGGGTGGGACCCAAGCCAACGGATTCATTAGAAACCCCAAAAAGGAGAAATTCATCTCCTGAAACAACTGCTGGGATTGCCCCATCTGGCATGACATTCAAGTGAAAGGTTCACAAGAAATTCTTGGTGGCAACTGCTGTTCAACAGTGGAAACTCTCCTTCACCAGAGGGTTTTTAAACAGGTTGCATTGGCTATCTGCTGCAAAAGCTTTAGTTGTGGATTTCTGCACGCCAATGTAGGCTGGACAAGATGGCCTTTAGGGTCATTTCCAGATCTTCGTTCACATGATTCCAAGTGCATTAAAGCTCAAGGTGGTTCACAGGCACTTTGTCATCCCTATCTGGGTTTTTGCCAGAGAGATCAAAGCAAAATGTGGGAGATCAAATAGTTAGCAAGCATGAGCAGTTCCATTGTAGAACCTCATGTCAGATCATGGCCCATCTCTGTTAAGACCATTTCCCATATTTGTGAGGCTTGAATGATCATGAGAAGAGCTTCAATTTTTGGACTAGCAAGTTGTTGTTGTTGTTGTTGTTGTTGTTGTTCTTCTTCTTCTTCTTCTTCTTCTTCTTCTTATTATTATTATTATTATTATTTATTATTATTATTATTATTATTATTATTATTATTATTATTATTATTATTATTACAGATAGTCTTGAGACACCTTAAAAAGTAATATATTTTATTTGGCATAAGATGTTGTGCCCTTTAACCTCAAAAGCTTGTGACAAATAAAGCCGGTTAGGTTTTAAGGCTGTGGTTCAAAAGCTTGAGCCTCCAGATGATCATCGACTACAACTCCCAGAAATCCTGACCAGCACAGCGAGTGGTGAAAGCTTTGAGGAGTTGTAGTCCAAGAACATCTGGAGCCCTACTGCTTTAAAGGTAACACCAGAGCCCTCGGTTGCTAAAAACAGGCTAAAAACTAAGCCAGTTCCACCTCCAGCCATTCCTCGCATCTATGAGTTATATATAGCTGTAGTTTAACTCACACCGATTGTGAATAAAAGTGGCAGCAGTCTAGATGGGGAGAGGGAGGTAGATCTAAATTCTCCCCATCCGACCCCTGGCCATAAGCTACTGCTTTCTTTGTACCCTATTCCACCTTGGCCCCCTAACACACACACACACACACGTACATACACCTCCCTCCCCAGAATAACAGCCCAACAACTGCTGCATTGTGGCCTCTGGAGCAATGTGAGGGACTCCTACCGCGAATATTAATGGCTGACCTCTGATGTAATCGGGACGGGCTGGGGAGGGGTGTGTGTGTGTGAATAGCGCCCAGTCAAAATTGCAGTTTTCACTTCAGTACGGAAAGGCATTTTGTACTGCCAAATAAGAGCCCAGGCAGTTATAACAGCAGGGCTCGACTTTATGGAATGAACCTTTCATCCCTTTTATATTCTTTTTAAAAAAAGAAAAAAGAAAAAGAAAGAAATACAAAAAAAAAAGCCCAAGCCTTCAAGAAATAGACCCTCCACCTTCCTCCCCTTCTTGCTCCTGTTTTTTTTTTTTTTCCTTCTTCGTCTGCTTCCTCTACTTCTTCCTTTTGGTCTCATAGCATTTATTCTGTAAATCATTGCTTCGGATTACTAAAGGCATGTTGCAGGGCGGGATGAGGAGAGCGGATCTGGCTGTATGCATTCGGGGAAATGCGCGGATAGATTATTATGAACCTTTTTCCCTTTCGGGAGTGGGGAGAGAGAGAAAGTGGAAGGGGAGGGCAATCTTGCT